AATCAATCAACCAATCAATCAATCAATCAATCAATCAATCAATCAATCAACCAACCAATCAATCAATCAATCAATCAATCAATCAATCAATCAATCAATCAATCAATCAATCAATCAATCAATTAATCAATCAATCAATCCATTTATTTATATTTTACACCAGGACAAATTTTTTTTTTTTTTTTTTTTAATGGGGAGGTACACCCCGACAACCAACTCCCCCCCAGCCCATCCACCCCCTCAATACCCCCCCGGAAGGCCACATACGGATGACCCAAAGTTCGTACGGACGGGTAGTACAGGCATTGGGGGCCCGTACGTACAGTCGTCCTCACGTACAGATGGGCCATCCCCGTACAAGGTGACTAAACTGGTATGGACGTTTAGACCACGCTAGTAGGTAGGGACCGGAAACTTAGGAACCACCATAGTCAGGCACCTTCAAACCTTCTTCCACCTCCACCTCCTTCCCCCATCCACCATAACCAAGCGCCTTCACAACTTCTTCCACGTCCAACTCCTTCACCCATCCACCATAGCCAAGCCTCTTCGCACCTTCTTCCACGTTCACCTCCTTCACCCATCCACCATAGCTAAGTACCTTCAACTACCATTTCGTCAAAATTGACATTTTTTATTTTTCGAACAAAATTGAAACCGAGTTTTTTCAACTTTTTTGGCCGAAAACTCGTCTAAATTTTGCTGCTCCTACGGGTCTGGTGTTTTTAAAATGCTGGACCCCCTGGATATATCAAAACTAAGATTGAGACCAGATACATCCAGGGGGGACCGACTGAATGTATCTTGTCTCAAACTAGGTCCAAATACATACAGGGGGTCCAACGTTTTAAAAACTCCGGACCCTAAAGAGCAGCAAATTTGGACGAGTTTTTGACCAAAAAAATTGAAAAACCTCAGTTTCAATTTCGTTAAAAAAAAAAAAAATGTTCATTTTTACGAAATCGCCGTTCTTCACACATTTTTCCACCGCCACCTCCTTCACCCATCCACCATAGCAAAGCACCTTCATACCTTCCCCCATCACCTCCTTCACCCATCGACCATGATAGCCACCTTCACCCATCCACCATAGCCAAGCGCCTTCATACTCCTCCTTTACCCATCGACCATAACCAAGCACCTTCACACCTTCCTCCACCTCCACCTCCTTGACCCATCCACCGTACCCAAGCACCTTCACACCTTCTTCCACCTCCACCTCCTTCACGTATCCACCAATCCATAGCCCAATACCTTCACATTGTTTTCCACCTCCACTTCCTTCAGCCATCCACCATAGCCAAGCACCTTCATACCTTTCTCCACCTCCACCTCCTTCACCCATCCGTCACAGCTAAGCACCTTCACATCTTCTTCCACCTCCACCTCCTTCACCCATCCACCATAGCCAAGCACCTTCACATCTTCTTCCACCTCCACCTCCTTCGCCCATCCACGATAGCCAAGCACCTCGCACTTTCTCCCATTTCCACCTCCTTCATCCCTCCACCATAGCCAAACACCTTCACATCTTCTTCCACCTCCACCTACTTCAAACATCCACCATAACCAATCATCTTCACACCTTCTTCCACCTCCACCTCCTTCACCCATTCACCATAGTCAAACACCTTCACACCATCTTCCACCTCCACCTCCCTTACCCATCCGCCATAGCCAAGTACCTTCACACCTTCCACCTTCACCTCCTTCACCCATCCACCATAGTCAAACACCTTTACACCTTCTTCCACCTCCACCTCCCTTACCCATCCACCATAGCCACCTTCACACCTTCTTCCACCTCCACCTCCTTCACCCATCCACCATAGCTAGGTACCTTCACACGTTCTTCATCCGCCACGTCCTTCAGCCATCCAGCATAGCCAAACACCTTCACACCTTTCTGCAACTTCACCTTCTTCACCCATCCATCATAGTCAAGCACCTTCACATCTTCTTCCACCTCCACCTCCTTCATCCATCCACCATAGCCAAGCACCTTCACAACTTCTTCCACCTCAACCTCCTTTACCCATCCACCATAGGCAAGCACCTTCACACCTTCTTCCACCTCAACCTCCTTCACCCGTCCACCATAGTCAAGCACCTTCACACCTTCTCCCACTGCCACCTCCTTCACCCATCCACCATAGTCAAGCACCTTCACACCTTCCTTCACCTCCACCTCCTTCACTCATCCACCATAGCCAAGCACCTTCGCACCTCCTCTACCTCCACCTCCTTCACCCATCCACCATAGCCAAGCACCTTCRCACCTTCTTCCACGTCCACCTCCTTCACCTATTCACCATAGTCAAGCAGCTTCACACCTTCTTCCACCTCCACCTCCTTCCCCCATCCACCATAGCCAAGCACCTTTCCACCTTTTTCCACCTCCACCTCCTTCATCCATCCACCATAGCCAAGTACCTTCACACCTTCTTCCACCTCCACCTCCTTCACCCATCCACCATAGCCAAGTACCTTCACACCTTCTTCCACGTCCACGTCCTTCACCCATCCGTCATAACCAAGCACCTTCACACCTACTTCGTCCTCCACCCCATTCACCAACCAATGTCGTGGTCCAAGGTATACAGGGCGGCGGATCATTAGAGGAGTCATAGGTAGCATGACAGGACGAGTAGGGGATAAGTTGGTTTAGTCTAGGGGTCTCTCTCTCTCTCTCTCTCTCTCTCTC